GGTGTTAATCTAAATAGTAGTAATGGCTAGGTAAGATTTTTCTTTTACGTATCCATTACTGTTCCAGGACCTTAACGGGTGTTGCTTTATTTCAGATAGAGGGTATTAAAGCAGAGCAGCAAGTAGTCAGTAAATACTGGTTTGTCGTGAATCCTTTCACATCTCTTGATAACCCACCTATTCTGTTTCCTGTGGTTCATTATTTACGTATTTATTTCTCAGCATTCCTAACTTCTGTATAATTCCCTGCATAATGAACACTTTGGAGTACAGACCAGAATGCAAATTGGGTTCTGCAGCTGAGCTAGTTGTACATTTTAATCATGCTGTGCCTCGGTTTCTTCATGTGCAACAGGGATGCTACCATCCAGCTGCGTAGGTGTCATGGAAGGTAGGGGAGATAACCCAGGCCCAGCAGCTGACAGACAGGGGCGCTGGCTGTGCATTTCTCTTCTCCCTCCCGGCGCCGTGTCCCTGACCACGCCCTCTTGCTCTTGCCCCCGGGCGGCGATGTGATTGTGTTTTTTATGGTTCTTTTGGTCCTACTTATAAAAACACTGGTGCAAGTAGGACAGAGATTCCCCCTGTTGTGAACACCTTGTTCTCCAGCCTCTCATCCTTGTGTCTAGACCACCGATTAGCAAGAATACTAGGCACGTAGAAGTTTCTCAGTGAATGTTTATTAAGCAGAATAAATGACGTGGTCAAGAACTAAGCCAGCTCATGTTTGCCATCAGGCTCTGATAGGTGGGGTGTTAATTTGCTAGGGCTACGGTAACAGAGTACCTGAGACTGGACGGCTTAAACAACAGAAGTTATTTCCTCACAATTCTGGAGGCTACAGATTTGGTTTCTTCTAAGGCTTCCCTCCTTGGCTGGTAGGTGGCCATCTTCCCTCTTCCCTTGGTGTTCTCACATGGTCTTCCCTCTGCGTGTCTGTCCTGATTTGCTCCTCTTACAGCAGTCAGTCATATTGGATTAGGGCCCAGCCACAGAACCTCATTTTACCTTAACTACCTCTTTAAAGTCCCTGTCTCTCAAGAGTCACATGCTGAGCTACTGGGGAGTTAGAACTTCAATATATGAATTGGGGAAGAGAGGGGGGTGGGTGGTGCGCACAATGCAGCCCATAATGGGTGACTGTCTGAGAAACTAGTACAGTGATCTTTTCCAAGGGTCTGTGCTTCTCTGGAAAAGATATGTGAGTGACTGTTGAGTCACAGAGCTAGAAAAAAAATCTAGATGAAGAATAGTTGTGATTTTTGAAAAAACAATACTATGTTCTGATTTTTTAAGAGCACTTACCAGAAGTTAGTTTGATGTTTCTCATTATATTATTCTTAGATGAGTAAGATGATTAGATGAATCCTACCTATTTTTTTTCTCACTTTTGAATATCCAGTGCTTAGTTCATACTATGTGTTAGGAAATGTTGAATTGAATGCAGGTGATTTGTCTGCCTCTGGACGTTGTCACAATTTCATTCATCCCAAAAGCAGATGAATCTCAGTGGTCACTTGTGAAGGCACATTTTATTGCCTCAGGATTTTTGGACCTGAACTCTTTCAAATGTCTGAATTCTTCTCTAGTAATAATTCTTTATGAACCTTTTTTAAGATTTTATTTATTTATTTGAGAGAGAGCGAGCGAGAGAGAGCACATGAGCAAGGGGGCAGGGAGGGTGGAGGGAGAGGGAGAAGCAGACTCCCTGACGAGTAGAGAGCCCGACACGGGGCTCCATTCCAGGACCCTGAGATCATGACCTGAGCCGAAGGCAGATGCTTAACTGACTTACCCACCCAGGCACCCCTGTGAACCAAATTTTTAAAACAAAGAGTCCTATTACCATGATTTCCTGAGTTACTTATTAGTTTGTGCATTTTTATTGCTCCTTGGACTTCTTATTCTTTGGGGGAACACAGGCATAATTTCCTTAGACATAGATCAAAACTGCATTTGATAACTATATTGCAGTTTGTGTTATGGAAGAACAATGAACAAAATATTCAGCATATTTTTTTATTTTTGTTTCTGATTATTTCAGAATTAATATTTCATTTCTTTTTTTTTAAATCTTTTTTTTTTTAAGATTTTATTTATTTGAGAGAGAGAATGAGATAGAGAGAGCATGAGAGGGGGGAGGGTCAGAGGGAGAAGCAGACTCCCTGCTGAGCAGGGAGCCGATGCGGGACTCACTCGATCCCGGGACTCCAGGATCATGACCTGAGCCGAAGGCAGTCGCTTAACCAACTGAGCCACCCAGGCACCCAATATTTCATTTCTTAAAATATTTTTAATGATGAGGTAGGCCTTGACTGGTAAGGCAATAGTTTTCTGAAAGAGTCCCATTACTCATGTACATGTAAATAGATGTCTTACAGGGCGCCTGGGTGGCTCAGTCGGTTAAGCGACTGCCTTCGGCTCAGGTCATGGTCCCGGAGTCCCGGGATCGAGTCCCACATCGGGCTCCCTGCTCGGCGGGGAGCCTGCTTCTCCCTCTGACCCTCTCCCCTCTCATGCTGTTTCTCTCTCTCTCTCTCAAATAAATAAATAAATAAAATCTTTAAATAGATGTCTTACAGAAATACCACAGAATAATTTAAGATAATTAAAAATGGGGCTGCCAAACAATTTTCATATTTGTAGGTAATTTGTGGTGTCAAAGAGCTACTTGGTTTTCTGACTGGAAACCTGTTTTTTTGTAAAGGGTAATTTATACATCAGATTTATTAATTTTTCGAATTAGTGGCAATACGCTTACAAAATATAGTGGTAAAAAGCTAATATATTAGTTGTGTATCTCCTATATTTTTGTGTTTTTTTTCCCCTAGTAGAATTCTTACCTTTGTTAGTGTTTTTTGTTCACCTTGTTTTTTAAGTGCTTTGTTGTTACAAGTCAGAAATTATGATGAAATGAAAATAATTTCTTCTCGCTATAACTGCTTCTGTTTATAAGCCCAGAGTTCTTCATATTTAGTGAGGGTCCTGTTCTTGTTTTACTGCATTGGCTGGGTCTGTGTGGCTGGTTGACCATTGGAAGTTTTATAATAATGAAGATTGCAAGTTTCAAGAAAACAAATCCTTTGCTTCTGTGGACCTTCCAGTGTCTAGCACAGGATTGAATCGAAGGTTCCGTGAAAGAGGAACATCTGGAACATACCTTACTTTTTTCTAACTAGCCAATGGCAGAGTGGGGGAGAGAGAAGACACTATAGATAATGCATGTTTACATCAGATAGTAAGAAAAATCTGTATGATACAAAAATTGTACGAAGTGCGCTACCAAATGTCCTTCTCTCGCTCTGCATTTTAGATGATACAGAAGATGCTAGCACGTGCATTAGAATTTGTGATGTCATAATTTAAGCATCATTTCACATTTGCCTTCAATTGACAGCTGTGCCTTCATAAATGACGTTAATGTGATTAGCTTGCCAAAACCCAGAAGAGATTACATTTATTAAAGAATGCATAAAAAGCCACATCTTGAGCTTTCGTAGGGAGTATGACTCAGAATCTTCATTTTAAGGAGTTAGTAGTGTTTTCTTAATGAACTGTTAACATAGTGGTTAATTCTGAAACTATTATGTTAATTGGTTCATTAATAAACATAACAATTTTTGTTTTCTTAACATAAAGATGAATGGCTGTTAATTCAAATGAGACCTATCTTGTACACTCACGTGCAGACTAACATTGATAAACTTGACATTTTGTTTCAAACGGTATTTTAAAAAACAAAGCTTATTATAATTTTTTTATTAGAATGTTTTAGATAGGATTAAGTCATTTTATTTTGGCCCATAATCAGCCTCCTGAGGTGTAATGAGAAATCCCATTTCAATATACAAGTTTAATTTTCAGTGTTTTTTTGGTGGTGGTGGTGCTTTAAAATTTTTTTTTTAAGCAAGCTTCCTACCAGTGTGTGCCTGATTGTCTTAAATACTTCATTAGGCCAGCTGGTCTCTTTGGCGTCTGGGTTTACTTTTAGGCCCTGACCCATGGGCCTCTTCTGCCTTGCCCTGCTCTTGTTCTCCGCACGCCTCAGCTTTCCCTCTTGATTATGGTATCTGTTGTATTATTTCTTATCTTGCATCTCAACAAAAGCCTTTGTTTTGAGAGCAGGTCGCATGGAATTGGCCAGAGAGGCAGTAAACTTGTTGCTGTACTTCCTTAGCTACCTTCCTTGGGGGAATTAGAAAGCATTTGAAGAACGTGTGCATGGAGTGTTGATGGGCTCCCTCTGCCCATAGCAGGTCCCCTGTCCTAGTGTCTCCCTTCATAGCACCCATTACATCGTCAGAACGTCTTGGGAGCAAAGGGGTCCATCTTGATTGGGTATTGTTCGAGTTTTTTATTGGTTGGAATCCCCTCATTTCATTTGCATCCTTGGTCCCAGACTAAATGAACCCTTGGTATGCCTCTGGCCTATGAAATTAATGTGCTTTTGTTTCCTAAAGTCCTTGTATTAACGCAACAGTCATGCTAAAGAAGGAATGGGTCGAAAGCCATCAGGCCGATCTGGAAAGCTCTGCCCTGTGAAGCACATTTATGTTACTCAGAAATCTCTTCTTTATGGAAAACCACTGAACCATTAGTTATATTCAGAGTCATTCCTCAAATCAACTAAATCATACATTAAATCCTCTTGTCTTGGATGAAGTCTTCAGAAGTCTTCTTCCAAGTCTTCTTGGAAAATTTTATGAGACAAACGAGATTTATTATCAAGCTGTTGATCTCTCCAAAAAGTTTTGTGTAATCAGAATCAAATGGTTGATGAAAAGTTTATTTTCATAAATTTTAATTGTTAAACGTTATTATTTCTAAAACTCATTTAAAAACTGGTAGAATTAGAGAACCAGAATTCAACATGCACTAATTTTTTTTTTTTTCCAGGACGAGAGAAAATTAAATTAAGGGAATAATTAAATACTATACATGTTCACAGGATGTTTCTTGATAATACATACGACACTCTTTCTTTCTGCTGTTTCCTTTAGGTGATTGAAGACAATACTGGAGTCCGCCGGGTGGTGGTCACACCCCAGTCTCCTGAGTGTTACCCCCCAAGCTACCCCTCAGCCATGTCTCCAACCCACCACCTACCCCCCTACCTGACTCACCACCCCCATTTTATTCATAACTCACACACGGCTTACTACCCACCTGTTACTGGACCTGGAGATATGCCGCCGCAGTTTTTTCCTCAGCACCATATTCCCCCTACAATATACGGCGAGCAAGGTGAGTATTGCTGGTATTGGGAGCTGTGGAAACTGGTTACAACTCGGAAGTAGCATAGGGTCTTTGAATCTGATTGCATTTGTGTTTTCACATTCTTCAGTGCAGTTGGGTTACCTTGTGAAGATCTGCTTTTTAAAGATCTTCCCTAAGCTATGTGAACAGAAAGAAAAGAAAAGTGGAGCTTTACTGTTGATCAGTTGAAACGTCAGTTATGTTATATAGGGTGACTGTACGTTCCTGGTATGCTTAAAACAGTCCTGGTTTAGGTCTCTTGTCCAGAGACATGATTAGGAATGCTACCTTTTCACTCTCAGAAGTATTCAGTTTGGAATGCTAATTTAGTTGGTCATTCTATGCACGTGGGGCCTTTTTTTTTTTTTTAAAGATTTTATTTATTTATTTGAGAGAGAGAATGACAGACAGAGATCATGAGAGGGAGGAGGGTCAGAGGGAGAAGCAGACTCCCTGCCGAGCAGGGAGCCCGATGCGGGACTCGATCCCGGGACTCCAGGATCATGACCTGAGCCGAAGGCAGTCGCTTAACCAACTGAGCCACCCAGGCGCCCCTGGCCCTTTTTTCTTATAAACATTTAAGGACTCAATCTCTGTGTTATATATTGTCATTTTTATTAATGCCTAAATAGAATTTTTAATTGAGTTAAAATTTTTAATTTAAAATAAATGTTTTCCCCTAAGATCTGAAATTGTTTTGTAGGCTCCCATTCTTTTTTTTGGATCCACTTAAAAATCTACATAGTAGGGGGCGCCTGGGTGGCTCAGTCGGTTTAGCGTCTGCCTTCGGCTCAGGTCACGATCTCAGGGTCCTGGAATCGAGTCCTGCATCGGGCTCCCTGCTCAGCAGGAAGCCTGCTTCTCCCTCTGCCTGCCGCTCTCCCCTGCTTGTGCTCACACTCCCTCTGTCTTTGACAAGAAAATAAAGTCTAAAAAAAAAAATGTAGACTGATCTTGCATTTGTCATAATCCTCCATTTCAGAAATTATACCACTCTATGGAATGTCAAGCTACATTACCCGGGAAGACCAGTACAGCAAGCCTCCACACAAAAAACTGAAAGACCGCCAGATTGACCGCCAGAACCGCCTCAACAGCCCCCCATCTTCTATCTACAAAAGCAACTGCACACCCGTGTACAACGGCTACGGGAAGGGCCACAGTGCTGGAGGAGGCGGAGGCAGTGGAGGAGGCAGCGGGGGCGGGCCAGGGAGTAAGAAAACAGAGCGGCGAGCAAGGAGCAGTCCGAAGTCGAATGATTCAGATTTGCAAGGTAACGTGCAGAGGTGGTTGCTATAACGAATGAACCATGGAGCCAGACATCCTAAAGGAAACGTCTTGTACATAACAGTGTTATTTCATGGCAATTGGTCTTTCTACTAGGAATGACTGGTTAGACCCTCTGATCATTTTCTGAGTAAGAGCAGAATATCATATCCTCTTTTTGATTAATAGTTTATGGCAGAAATATCTTTGGGTCACAAGTGCCATGTGACGCTTTACGTAAGCTCGGTAACAAGTATCCCAGCGGGTTTTCACATTAGCCCACTTCCTGTTGTTTCACTCCAAATAGAGAGGGAGGAGATCCGAAGTAAAACAGTCTTTCTAAGAGGTATAGGGCTTGTTTAACTCTGAAAATACTTATACCTCATGAAACCAGATGTAATTACTTGGTTCTGTAGTGAAATTTATCATTGTGGAATAGGAATATATTTTTGCTTAGTTTTAGGCATCAATTTTTGCTTAATGCCACCTTTGCATTCTGAATAAAGTATTCATTGCCCAAGAACGAGACGGAAGAAATAAGGTCACCGCACATGAGACATCAGCTCCAAAGGGCATGTGTTTTTTGTAGATGAGTCTTGTGGCTATAGATTGGTTAATTTGGGGGAAGAATGTTATATGTGCTTTAAATCAAGCTTTTAGCCAAGATTTAGAAACCACCTATTTTGATGCCACGGGAGTTAAAAACGGGCTTTTGATACAGACGTGTAGAGAAGGCTGACTTAATTGAAGCAGAATAAGGTAACATTTTGAAAGGCTAGGTGAGATTACAAATATAAATATATTATAAAGACATGAGCGACTAGAAAAGACAGGATAAGAAGTGATTATAGCACTCATTAAATATACTCTGTTTTATCAGACCTCATCCAGATAGGAACTGGGACTGTGTGTGCGTGTGTGAGAATGTGTTTGTGAATGACAGGGACGGAAGTTGTTTATGTTTGATTGTGTCGGGAAGACTGGACTCTTTTTGGGGTTGAGGAAACCGAGGTAGAACCAGCCATTGGCATCAACATTTCCCCCCATTTTATTTATGAGTGAATTGTAGCATTAAAAAGAGGAATAGTAAGGTGCAGTAAAAAGTGACCAGTAATTTCTCTGAGTAAAATGTATTACAGATTCTTTTAATTTTGTTCTTTATTCTTTTCTATATTTTTCCAAGTTTTATGCAGTTATCATGCATTATTATCTTATTAAACAAAGCATAAACAAGTATATAGAAGAGACCCAAAGTTTAAGAGGACTTTAAGTAGTTTTTAAAAGATTTTATTTATTTGAGAGAGAGAACAAGAGCAGGGGGAGGGGCAGAGGGAGAAGCAGACTCCCCGCTGAGCAGGGAGCCCAGCCGCCTAACTGCTTAACCGACTGAGCCACCCAGACGCCCCTAAGTAGTTTTTTAGGTATACTGCTATTTTTGCCATATAAAGTAATTTTTAGTCAACTGATAATACAAACTCAAGTTTAAAATTAGATTACTAGCAATGTTAGACTTTTTAACCATGGACATAAAAGGGAATTTACACAAAAAAATTAGAAATAAGTTTTTCTAAGGAGAATTTTAGTTTATAAAAAAAGAGAAGAGGAATGTAGCAGTCTTCAGAGAGCTTAATGAGGTTTGAACTACCTTGATTATTTGATTCATTCTCTAATAATTTTTGCCCTGTCTTGCACCAACAAAGATTTCAGACAGATGACATAGATATATATAATAGACTCAGAATAAATTTGAATTAAGATCTAAGGGGCAAAGAGATGAAGGAAAATAAGATGAATCGGAGTTAAAGTTAATAAATAAAACTAATGTAATTATGGATTAAGTATGGCAAAAATAAGTATCTTCCTTATCTGCGCAGTTATTTTATATTACATGTCTAAATGCGTAAGCTGCTCTATTTTTATTTTTTTATTTATTTATTTTTTTTTTTTTTGTGAGAGAGAGAATGAGAGACAGAGAGCATGAGAGGGGAAGGGTCAGAGGGAGAAGCAGTCCCCCCGCTGAGCAGGGAGCCCGATGCGGGACTCGATCCCGGGACTCCAGGATCATGACCTGAGCCGAAGGCAGTCGCCTAACCAACTGAGCCACCCAGGCGCCCTGCTCTATTTTTAATATACTCACAGCTGTAAGAGAGGATATGGATTTGCACTGAAATCTATACTGAAATGTTTGCTAACATCTATATATTTACAAACATTTTGGCCTCTTATGTAATGAATGAGAGTATAATTATTTTGAGCACCTTAAGCTCTTTGCTATTGTGTATAAAACGATGATGATGATGATGATGATGATAGTAACAGTGAGATCTCTTTCATTATGCTCTTACAGGAGTGTGTGTTTTGCAGTGAAAAATTAGAAAAAAATTTATTATCATCTCAGCTTTAGTCTGAACTTGCTCTGTTGCTCCTTTTCTCATTGCATTATTTACCTCCTCAAAACCACTCAGAGTGCAACTCTCCACGTGGTTTAGCCACGAAATAAAGAATCAGAGTATTATGTTTTCTGCCTCATTTCAATAAGGATCCTGAGGGGTTTACATGTTGGATTTTAAAACTAAGTATTCATTTTCCCAAAGGAATTAAAAACTTAGGTCCTGACAAAAACCTACACCCAAGTGTTTATAGCAGCAGTATTCATAGTTGCCAAAACTCGGAAGCAGCCTAGATGTTCTCTAGTAAGTAAACAAACTGTGCTTTATGCAGACAATGGAATATTACCCAAATTCTGTTAAAGTATAAAAAGAGATAAAACCACCTTAAGTGCATATTACTGAATGAAACATGCCAATCTGAAATGACCACATTCCAAGGAGATAAAAGACCTGTATTCTGAAAACTAAGAAATTGATGAAAGGATTTGAAGAGGACACAAACAAATGGAAAGATACTCCATGCTCATAGATTGGAAGAATTAATATTGTAAAAATGTCCATACTATCCAAAGCAATCTACAGATTCAGTGCAGTCCCTATCAAAATACCAATAACATTTTTCACAGAAACTAGAACAGATGATCCTAACATTTGTGTGGAACCACGAAAGACCTTGAATAGCCAGAGCAGTCTTGAGAAAGAACAACAAAGCTGAATGTATCACCATCCCAGATTTCAAGATATACTACAATGCTATAGCAATCAAAACAGTCTGGTACTGGCAGGAAAATAGATACATAGATCAGTAAAACAGAATAGTGCAGAAATAAACCCATGGTTATATGGTCAATTAATCTATGACAAAGAAGGCGAGAATATACAATGAGGAAAAGACAGTCTTTTATAAATGGCGCTGGGCAGACTGGATAGCTACATGCAAAAGAATGAAGCTGGGCCACTTTCTTACACCCTATACAAAAATAAACTCAAAATGGATTAAATACCTAAATGTGTGACCTGAAATCATAACACTCTTAAAAGCAGACCTAGGCAATCATCTGTTGGACATGGACCTTAGTAGCATATTTATGGATATGTCTCCTCAGGCAAGAGAAACAAAAACAAAAATGAACGATTGGGACTACACAAAAATAAAAAGCTTTTGCAAACAAAACAAAATGAAAAGGCAGTTTACTTAATAGGAGAAGACATTTGTAAATGATACATCTGATAAAGGTTAATATCCAAAATATATAAAGAACTTCCACAACTCAACACCAAAAAAAGCAATCCAGTGAAAAAATGGGCAGAGGACCTGAGTGGACATTTTTCCAAAGAAGACATACAGATGGCCAACAGGCACATGAAAAGATGCTCATCATTACTAATCATCAGGGAAATACAAATCAAAACCATGAGATGTCACCTCATACCAGTCAGAATGACTAGTATCAAAGGACAAGAAATAACAAGTGTAGGTGAGGATGTAGAGAAAAGGGAGCCCTCATGCACTGTGGGTGGGACTGTAAATTGGTGCAGCCACTGTGGAAAACAGTATGGAGGTTCCTCAAAAAATTAAAAATAGACCATATGGTCTGTTGATTTCACTATGGGTTATTTACCCAAAGAAAAACACTAATTCAAAAAGATATGTACCCCTATACTTATTGCAGTATTATTTACATTAGCCAAGATATGGAAGCAACCCACATATCCATTGATTGACGTGTGGATAGAGAAGAGTGATATATGTACATAAAATGGAATATTATTCAGCCATAAAAAAGAATGAGATCTTGCCACTTGCAACAACATGGATGGACCTAGCGAGGGTATTACGCTGAGTGAAATAAGACCGAGAAAGAAAAACACCATATGATTTCACTTGTATGTGGAATCTAAAAAACAAAAAATAGATACAGAGAACAAACTGGTGGTTGCCAGAGGGGAGGTGAGTAGGGGGATGGGCAAAATAGGTGAAGAGGATTAGGAGGTGCAAGCTTCCAGTTGTAAATATTTTAAAAGAAAAAAACCCCAAATGAATCAGATACTGTTTAAAAATAAAATGTGAAAGAATAAGCAGATGAATCAGTGTACAAACAGGAATAGAATTGAATAAAATGCAGTAGATCAAATGAAATAAACTAACATTCTGGATTCAGAAACAAAAAACCCAAAATAAATTCCCCCTAAACCTCATTTTCAGATCTACTAAATGAGACTCTCTTCACCTTATCTGGCTTCATGGATGGATGTATGTTTGTTTGTTTTATCAGTCCTCCACTGGGAATGATGTCAGCCAAGATAAAGAACTACTATCCTAAAATTAAGGATGGTTGCAATAGGTGTGGTTCACTAAGTTGTGCACAGTAGGAGACAGGAACTTTTAATTCACCATTTTTACCTCTTAGAACTATTTCTGGCATACACAGCAAATATTTGTGGAATGAATTCTGTATTCTTAATTTGTTTTCTAGAACAGGTCTTCCATTTGAACTTATGTAGCTGTTGTACTGTTTTCCCTTCCTAGGAATAATTCTCTACCCCTAAGGATACTGCTCTGCAGCCAGCCCCTCCTTTCATTTACTGTTACCTTCAGGAAAACAGCTTAGGCAGG